AAAAAAAAAAAACTGTCTGAATATTTTAATAAATTTTAACACAAACTGCTATATTGTCTTTTATTTCATTTATTTTTTTTGAGACATGGTCTTGCTTTGTCACCCAGGGCTGGAGTGCAGTGTTGTGATCTTGGCTCACTGCAACCTCTACTTCCTGGGCTCAAGCGACCTTCCCACCTCAGCTTCTGAGTAGTTGGGACTACAGGTGTGCACCACCATGCCTGGCTAATTTTTTAAATTAATTTTTTTAGAGATGGGGTTTTGCCATTTTGCCCAGGTTGGTCTAAACTCCTGGGCTCAAGCAATCCACCTACTTTAGCCTCCCAAAGTGCTGAGATTATAGGTGTGAGCCATTGCCCCCGGTCTACATTGCTTTTTAAAAAGGTTTGTCAATTCATAATGCTACTTTACCAATTACTCACCAGAATCAAGTATATTTACTCCTTTCTTTGGTTAGGAATGCATAATTCTAGAATCATTAACTACTGGATTTTCCTCTTGAAATGTTTCTAATTTTCACAAGAAGAAACGATACTCATGCCTTTCTAAACAGCTGATTGAACTCATTATTCTTATATATTGAAATATTTTTATATATTACCAGTGGTAAATCTAAAATATTGAAGATAATAGCTCTTTAGTTCAAATTTATGTGATCAAATTTCTATCTTTTAAATTCCCTTTGATTAAACCACAGAAATCATCATCTTTCTAAAAATCTTATTTAAAAAATTTTTCTACGGAATTGCTAATATATTTCATTGATTCATTCTGGTATAAGCTAAATAGCAGCTGTTTTAAACGTCTTTGGCCATAAAACTTCTGGAAAGGAAATTTTTATGTGGAAATTCAAATATAAAACAGATAAAAAGGACCTATAGTTTTACTCTTAGGTATATACCCAAAAGAACTGAAAACAAGAACTCAAATAGAGACTTATACCTCAAGGCTCTTGGCAACATTACTCTAATACCCAAAAGGAGAAAACAACCCAAGTGCCCATCAACAGATGAATATATAAACAAAATGTGATATATACCCATAATAGGACATTATTCAGTCTTAAAAAGGAAGGAAATTCTGATACATGTTATTATATAGACAAACCTTTGAGGACATTATGCTAAGTGAAATAATCCAGACACAAAAGGACAAATATTGTATGATTTTACTTATATGAAATACCTAGAAATAGACAAATTCATAGGGTCAGAAAGTAGATTAGAGATTATCAAGGGCTGAGAATCAGGGTAATGAGGGTTACTGTTTAATGGGTACAGAGTTTCTGTTTGGGATGAAAAGTTCTGGGAATGGATAACGGTGATGGTTACACAACACTGAATGTACTTAATGCCAGTGAATTTTACACTTACAATGTTTAAAATGGTAAATTTTATGTATATTTAATCACATACATGCTCCCCAAATGTCCAAGACAGACTGTGGAAATGTTCTAGATTAAAGGAAGCTACAGAGTCATGACAACTAAATGCATACCTGATCTTGGACTGGATCCCAAACTGGAGGGAAAAATGCTATAAAAGCCATTATTGGGTCAACTGACAAAATTTGAATATAAATAATAGATTAGACAAAACTATTGTACTCATGTTAAATTTGCTAATGTGGATAAATGTACCATGGTTATATAAAAGGATAGCCTGTTTTTCAGAAATATGCATTAAAGTATTTAGTGATAAAGGGCCATGATGTGTGCAACTTAACTTTAAGTGGTTCAGGAAAAAATTTGTGTGTATGGCCATGCACATATGTGCACATGTGTGTACACACACACATACATGGAAAGGAGGAGAGAGAGAACAAATCTAAATGATAAAGTAAGCATATGACTATTGTTTGTATTTTTATCTTCACAGATTTTTGTAAATTTAAAATTATTTCTAAATAACTTAAAATTTAACTTCTCAAAAGAATTTTCTGTGGAAATTCAAACATAAAATAGATAAACAAGAAACTATGGTTAAACAGGGGGTGGGGGGAGGTTCACTGATGCAGCTCCCTTCCCTTGTGCACCAAAATGGTTCCCGAGGTCTCTCTGTAGAGCCTGAGCAGCTAAATCCATACCTTATACTATGGTATTCAGAGTCTCTTTAAGTTGCTAACTAGTTATTTTTAAAGTGATTCCTCTTGTCTCAAATCCTATGGTCTTTCTAAACACTAAACGCCTCATATATATCAGGTCTATTCCGAGCTGTCTATTCTTTCCTACTGATCTAAGCTTTTATTTTACACCAAAAAATTTCCACAGGTCCTTGACAACTTTCTACATTTATTCTTTGCTTCAGGCTCTTATTTTTGTTCTGTTTTAATTGTTTTAAAGCAAAATTCAGATGTATTTTTCCTGTGGCCATATTGAATCTTTACACAGTCAGAATTATACTTTGGGGAGTTTTGCATCTTTTTCATGACATCTTTTCTTCCACATCTCATGTTATAGAATTATTTCTGGAATTTAAAAGTTCCTCCACATCTAACCTATAAAGTTTCTCCTCCTTGGCTATCAAAATCCCTCAAGTCACAAGTATATTCCCAGATAGGCTCCTATTACCTCACCTTAACTACTACTTCTTTGTTATAGTTAGATTAAGTTCAGACTAGCAATTCCCTTAGGTGTTTCCTTTAATCCTTGGGGAGATGACATCAGCAGCCAAA